TGTCTCTTATACACATCTAGATGTGTATAAGAGACCACACACACACACACACACACACACACACACACACACAAACAGTTTTATGTATGTCTGTTTTTTCTATTGATGTTTGTTCTTTCTTTGAATTTTCTGATTTTTTCAAAGCAGAAGAGAGAGAGAGAGAGAGAGAGAGAGAGAGAGGGTGCGGCCAGTGCGGCAAAGACGATGTGCAGGGATGGGTGGATAAGCAGAAGGATGTTGTGTTATCCGTCCACGGACAACGGGATGGGAAAGGAGAGGGGGGAGGAATATAGACACGAAGCATAGGGGAGGCATAGTACATAGAATAGTTTGAATTGAAAGATTGCTAGCAATATACACCCCCACTAGATGAGTGAGGAATTCACCTATACACCCTTGTTCCAGACTGGAAAATGGCGTAGGGTTTCACTGCAGGAGGAGGGTTGGGAAAAATCTCATCAAGTAGGGCAGGGGGAGGAGGGGGGGAACGGGGGGGGGAACGCTCTTGAGGCCAAAAAATGGCAGAGTTCAATCAAACTCGATCTTTTTTTTTCCCCCATTTTACTATGCTTTCAATATTGACTCTTTTCTTTTTTTCTTTTTAAAAAAAAAAAAAAAACACACCCCCTGCAGTGCTAGTGGTGCTGACGAAATCAGACAACGCTGGCACCTGGGGAGTGGCTCCGTCTGTTGGTGGGGAGCATCACCTGCTGCGGTGTGTGTGTGTGTGTGTGTGTGTGTGTGTGTGTGTGTTTCGAAATCAGACAACCCCCTTTACAACACGAATACAGAATGCATACAGAGTGAGGAAGCCTGCCAGCATTGATTACTCTGGCGTCCAGAGGATTGACTGTGCAGGTAGTCTCGGGAGGGGAGGGGAGCAGTTCCCCGTTTTATTATGATTTCAATCATCGACTGATTAGCAGATGAAAAAAAATAAAATAAAAAAAGCAGATCGCTTACATCCTCGCTCCCGATCCCGAATCAAGCAGATCAAGCTCAGTGACTCTTAAAGAGGAAGAAAAAAGGAGATCTTCGATTTCAATCATCAGCTAATTAGCAAATGGAACACACCTTCAATCAAGCAGATCAACCTCATCGAAATCTTTGCCCCGGAACACAGGAAC